GATAGTACAGATGAAACACGACCCTGTAGTAACATCTCTTCACAATGTCTGTAAATAATTTTCTTCTGCTTTGAGCTCTTGAAACTTTAAAACATGCTAATACTTTTCTTTATTAAACTCCTTTGCATGGCATAAAAGAATATAGATAGTAATTTCTTTTTGAGGTGAGAGATGGGGTTTCAGGTGAGCAAAGAAAGATTTTTCTTTTCCATGATACACTCCTATTTTATTTACTATTTATGTTACTTATTTGTATTTTATTTCACTTTATTTTCAAAAACTCTTATTGTATATATTAAGGATGTATGACATGATGTTTGTGCATAGTTGACTCTTAGGCAACACCAGGATTAGGGGAACCAAGCCCTCATGCAGTGAAAAATCTGCATATAACTTTTGACTTCCACAAACTTATAATTAGTTACATAATACAATATTGTTGACTGTAGTCCTCAGGCTATACCTTAGATTCTAGACTTATTTATCCTACACAACTGTAAATTTGCATCCTTTGACCAGTGTGTCCTCATCCTCCCACACCAATGCCATTGTTTACTCTCTGTTTCTAAGTATTCAACTTTTAAAGATTCTACCTACAGATGAGGTAGTGTAGTATTTTTCTCCTTTGTATGGCTTATTTCACTTCCCTTAAATAGGAAGTGAAATAAGTGAAGTGAATAGGAATTTGAAATAGGAAGTGAATAGGAAGTTATCAAACTCATGGAATTATTCAGTGCTTACAGGATTAAAAACCTTGTTTAGAGAAAATCCCAGGATGGTATTTTCAATCTGGAGGTAAAAACATCCCCCCAGATTGTGATGGTGCTGAGAGACCAAAGAATGACTCAGATAAGTCCAGCTTGGTGAGTCAGATGAGTTTATTAGACATTATTTATACAGGCTGTTCAGGTCAAGTCAAGACACGAATCCACTGGCACTCAGTCTTGGGCTGTGGCAGGAATTCTTTTTTTTTTTTATTACATTAATGCAATCATGGGGTACAGTGTAGTGTTTTCATATACATTTTGAAATACTTTCATCAAGCTGGTTCACATAAATTTCATGTCATTTGCATAGTCATTGTGTCAAAACATTTACATTCTAGTTCTAGAAAAGATCATTTGTACCCTTGTTGGACAGAAATATAGATGATCTTTCCAGTTACCCTCCCACCACCCAGCCACCCTTCTCCCCTCCCCTTCCCCACCCCCTCCCCATATTTTTGGGCTAGAATTAAGTTGTTTCTTTCATTTGAGAAGTATATATTAGTTTCATAGAAGGGCTGTGTACATTGGATACTTTTTCTTCCATTCCTGTGACACTTTGCTAAGAAGAACATTTTCCAGTTCCATCCATGTAAACATGAAAGAGGTAAAGTCTTCATTTTTCTTTAGGGCTGCATAGTATTCCATGGTGTACATATACCACAGTTTATTGATCCATTCATGGATTGATGGGCACTTGGGCTTCTTCCATGACCTGGCAATTATGAATTGGGCTGCAATAATGTGGCAGGAATTCTTCTGAGAGTAAGATCCTCACTGTCTGTTTGTGCAGCCTTAAATTCTTTTCTAACAAGTGACATAGACTTCTCTCTATGTCATCATCCAGTGCTTATGTAAGATACAGGTTCAGCATGCACAATCCTTCCCATTATGCTAGTGGGTACTATGCAACAAGTAAGGCAGCTTAAAACAGTTTATACTGGTCATAAGATTCATGACCATCTACACAAAAGGAGTTAATTAATAATGCCCTTTGTACTTTGGATTTCTTTCTGCTTACTTGAAGAAATCTTCCTGAATTCTGTTAAACATTAAAAGCCAGTGGTGGGGAACTTGTATTGCTATCTTGAACCTACCTAGTCAGAATGGATTATTATTTTTGCATATTGTCTCCAGTTGATTGTGAAATTCTATTTTGTTAAAGAGTTTTTATATCTATGTTCACTCATATAAGATCTCTGACTCCAGTTATTTTTTGTTCTTGATTACCTGTTAATTTGGAATTGCATACAGTAAAATACTGGCCTTTCCTTCATTTTCTAGGTGTATATGTGTTTGACATTTGATTCATGGAAATTAACACACCAATTAAGAGATAGTGATATCAATACAGGCTTTTAAGAGTTATTAATAAGCCTCTGCTTGTTAAGATTAAGAGTTTAAATCTATTTGTATATATGTATGATAAAGCTTGTCATGTTATTCACATCCTCTTTATCATTACTGGCTTTTGTTTGATGAATTTGTCAGTTTTTGAGATTGATGAGTTAAAATAATGGAGTACAATATCTGTATTATTTACAGCTTCCTCCAAAATGATTTATTTTAAAATTTCATCTTCTGTGTGGTCTGGGTATCTCAATCCCTGTGAAACCACATTACTTAGAATGCTTTGATGTCTTTACTTTAAAACTAATACTAATATTGATACTCTGATTTTTTCCTTTTCCTCACTACTCCTCTGTTTCTTCATTCCAATATGTTTTCTGTGGTTGCATTTCTTCTCCTCATGGTTCTTTACTGGTTCTTTCACTAAACACCTGCTTTGAGTTGGTCTGTTCGTCTGGAAATGCCTTTATCTCGCTCTCTCTTTTTTTTGATCATAGTTTGAATAGGTGTATAATTTACATTCTAAGTAATTTTTTCCTTCATTGTCCAGTTGTATAATATATCCTTTTTCTTTTTATAAAAGACAGGGCCTCACTCTGGTGCCTAGGCTGGGCTGCAACCTCAAACTCCTGGGCTCAAGAGATCCTCTTGCCTCAGCCTACTGAGTAGCTGGGACTAAGTCAACATATCTTTAGTTGTAAATTGGGAATGAAACCTTCAAGGATGGTGGGCATAATTGAGAAAATGCATGTAGTTTGTCAACCATAGTGCTTAGCAAATATTCAGTATTCAATAAATGACAGCTATTATTATCATTCTTATAATTTTCAGAGAGTGCATGCTCGGAGAAGGGCAGCTGACAACTACAAGTGCAAGGCTCACACCAAAGAAGTTAGAATGGGTGACATTACTGTAATTTTAATTCTTAGATCAGCTAAGATCAGCTGTGGTAGTGCAAAATGTGTACAGATAATGCAGTCTGTTCCAGCAAACTCAAAGTAGGACAGCACAGCTGGCCGCATGCCCAAGATGCTTAGGGAGCATCTCTGCTGTAATTATTGACTTAAACACAATGCAGAGAAAGATTTTTTAAAAAGCCTGTTTTCCTTTCTGTCTTATTTTTCTTGCTTAGTTTTATAATATTTGTCTTTATAAAAAAAGAAAAGACAAAAAGACATTATATTTTTAGAGGTTTGGCATTACTTGGGGACTCAGGCTTCCCAGATACCTAGTCATTTCAGCTCACAGGTCCCAAGGCAGATTGAAGACAAATTTCTGATCTACTCGTTTCTTCTTGGTCTATTCCTTATCCCGGGGGACTTATGAGGTGGGCAAGCAGCCACCAAGGAAGAAGTCCTGGCGCACCTGAGCTTCAGAGAAGGAGGTAACACAAGAAAAACTTGAGACAAACAGGGCCCAAGGGGGTGGGGAAGCAACAAAGATGAGTGTCTATCTAGCTATCTACCATTTATCTATCAAGCATTGATTGCTATTTATCACCTACCAATAATATATTTCCAATTTACCAGTCTATCTATTAATCATGTATGTTTTATCAACCTATCTATTATCTAGCTAGCTATTATCCTTTTTTGGGGGGCTATTTTCTCTTTGTATTCATTTTCTTTTTTTTTTTGTATATACTATTTATTATTTTTTTCCATTGTGTCAAAACATTTATATTCTAGTTCTAGAAAAGTTCACTTGTACCCTTGTTAGACAGACCATATAGGTGATCTTTCCAGTCACCCTCCCACCACCCATCCGCCCTTCTCCCCTCCCCTTTCCCACCCCCTC